TTATATATATATATATTTTTTTTTTTTAGACAGGGACTCAGGCTAACCTTGAACTCACTCTGTCAGTCTGTTCAGGCTGGCCTCAAACTCGTGGCAATCCCCCTGCCTCAGTCTCCCCAGTGCTGGGATTAAGGCTTATGCTACCACCCCCGGCCAAACATTCTTGAACATGCCTTTTTACGCCTATGTACAAAGGGTTCCTTAAGAGAATACACTGCAAGTGGGATTGTGGGATCAAAGGTTGTACAAAGTACTTATTTTATTAGCTATTGTTCAATCATTACACAAAGCAGCTGTGTGCCAACTGGCACCGCCAACATATGACACGAGCACTTTTTCATCTGCACACCCTGAGGGAGAGGGTGAGCAGCTTTTCCACGCTCACCAGGCTGTCTGGCTCTGGAAACTGCTTTTTCCTATCCTTTGTTTTCTATGGGGCAATTTCATTTCCTTATTAATTTGAGGAAGTCCTTTATATCCTAGATACAAATCTTTTGACACTTACGGGTATTTCAAACATTTTATTCTATCTGTAACTCCTCTTTAAATGGGCTGGGGATGGTGGCACGGACCTGTAATTCCAGCACTGAGGCAGGGAGCATCCCTGTGAGTTCAACGCCAACGTGAACTACATGGCGAGACATGGTCTCAAAAACCAACCAAAACAAGAAAAGTCTCTGTCATTTATACTGTATGAAATTGAAAAAAAAATCTGATTTAGAGGTCTACTTTTCCCATTTAATTACCCAATTAAATCAGCACTACTGTTTATTGATTAGCTCCTTTCCTAATAACCTGTAATTCCCGGGTGGGTCCACACACGAGTGCGTGTCTCTGCTGTTCTTTCTCCGGCCTGATGGGGTTGGTGTGGTGACCGAGAGGCCCTGCCCGCCCCTGCCTTTCCCCTGCTTCCGGGCAGGTGTGTGCGTGGGCCCGCGGCTCGCTCCTCCCCTCCGCAGCTCTTCCGGGGCCACTGCCCTGGCACCGCAGGAGGAGGGTGCTGCCTGCCTGTCCCTCCCGGGGGCGCTGCTTGCAGGATCTGCCCTGCCCGCTGTGAGAAGAGACGCCGGCTTGTTTTCTCAGTGTGCTTTTTGCTATTTTCGCCTCGCTGTCCTCCACCTCTTGTTCCCTTTCCCACCGCTGCCCTCCACTGTCCACGTCAGGTGTCAGGAGTGTTCAGTGGAGAATTCACTCTTAAAATTAAGAGTTCAAAGCCTGCTGCATGGAGCTTTGAGCTTCAGGAGGAAATCTCATGCAACTCGCAATTACTGCGTGTGGAACTCTGATCAAGCCATACATGAAGAAAACAGCTACATTTAAGTAATGTCTAAATTTAAATAACTATTACTTTTTCCTTTTTTAATTTTGCTCGGTTTTTCTTCTCTCATTGAGTTTACTGGTACATTTTAGGTATACAGGACAGTTACATTCATCATTCTCATTTTTTCCCCTTGTCCCTGCCCTCCCTTCACCCTGTTCTTGGTTTTTGAGACAGAGTCTTACTCTGTTGCCCATGCTGGCCTCCAACTCACAGCAAACCTCCTGCCTCAGCCTTGGGGGTGCTAGGATCACGGGCCTGGGCCACCACACCTGGCCACTCTTGCCTATCTTAGGAAGTAAGACATAGACTCTCTTAGTAACACGAACATAGGGATTTTACAGCTCTCAGAAGATAAGAAAGTTATCCAGTAAAATCATGTTAACAGTATGTGCTTAACTCCTCTCCATCTAAGACTCAGAGAGAATCACCAATTCAACACGACACTATTAAAGTGATTAAAATGTCCTTCTCCACAGTCTGACATCCATTTCCCTATAAATTATAATGCCCCTGGCCCTGAAGACAATGGGAATTTTTTGGTCATAATTAAAATACTTGGGCAAAGCAATATTTAATCTTTTTATAAATGTAGTTCTCTCTCTTTTTAAAAAAATTTTTTTGAGACAGGGTCTCCCTGTGTTCAAGCTGGCCTCGAACTCGCGGTAGTCCTCCTGCGTCTGCCTCCCCAGTGCTGGGATGACAGGTGACCACGCCCAGCCATCTCATCTTAAATAAGTTCCCTCATGAGGACTCTGTTTTTGATTTTTTGGTACCGGGGATCATACTCAGGTCCTTGTGCTTGCAAGGCAGGAGGTAGAACCACTGACCTAAATCCCCGGCCCATGGACTCAATAGAATTTCTAATGCTCGGAAGTATTTTCAATATATAAAAAGACGATAAAAAGAAAACCTTTATGCATTATTTTTAATCTCACTAAAAAAAAAAAGATGAAATCATGTGTAGTTCAGCCTCTTACTCAGGATGAAGTACTACTGTGCAGCACTTCTCAGACCAAATAAAGGAAGGAGAACAAACTCTTGCCCAAGGAATAGTCTACTCACTCATACCAGCCACACAAATGGTCACCTTTTAAGACATATAACTTCATTAACCAATTATGAAATTATAAAGCATACAGGCCTTTAACTTAGTTGTCTTGCACTAATCCCCTTCCCCCACGTTTTTGAGAGGTGAGGTCTTGCTATATTGCCCAAGCTGGCCTTGAACTCACAATCTTCCTGCCTCAGCCTCCTGAGCAACTGGGACTACAGGTGTATGCCAACATGTCAGGCTGTTCCCCTGGCACCCCCCCCTCGCCGCTTTTGTACCAGGGATAGAACTTGAGTCCTTGCCCTTGCGAGGCAGGTGGTGGCACAACTGAGCAAAATCCCCGGCTCCCCTGCCCTTTTAAAAAATGAAATATCTCCATCTTTTTCTTTCCTAAAGCTTTTTAATCACAGAAATAATCGCAAAATCACTTTAGCAAAAGAAACTGTATGAATCATTTGATTGACATTCACTAAAAATTAAGCTTAATTGTTACGTGTACAGTGTCTGTCATCTGCCCACGAATACGACTATTTGACTTTCTGTGGACACATGTTTCCACGACGTGATGCTAGATGCTGGGAAAGGGCAGCCTGCGTGGTCCCGGTGGTTCAGAGACCCATGTAGCACATCCTTCTGTGCGACTCTGCACGGGGACACCTGAATGACGGCCCAGTGTGCAGAGGGGAGCAGAGGGGAAAGAACAAGGTGTCTGAGGCCCCTGCACCCCTCTGTAGTGAGCAGGTGGGTGGGCACTGTGCCTGGGGCAACAGACCCTCAAATGCCCACGGTTAGAGACCTGGGCCACAGGGAGCTGCTGGCCAGAAGTGGAAAAGCAGCTCCTCTCGGGGGCTGGGAGGGGAAAGGAAGTCAAGGTCACTGCCAAGGACCAGGGGCTGCAGCAGGTAGCCTGGCTCTGCAGACAAGAGGGCTTCTCATGGGGTGCTGAAGCCAGGGAACTGCACATGGCTGGAATTATGCTGCTGTGCTGATGTCACTGGTAAAGGCTGAGAAACCCTCCCACCTGTGGTCTGGTTCAGGACCTGTGATTTCTAGCACCAAGAGTGCATCCTGGGTACCTAACTCGCCAATCCTGAGCTAGCTGCAGAGCTGATATAACATGGAGAGGATAAGGATTATCCTCCTCTGGGTTTTACCGTAAGATGTGTATGCAAGTTAGTCATTTGGCTGTCACTGCTGGAATACGAAACTCAGGCAAAGTGGAGATGAGCCAGAGCTTCTCTCAAATAATCCTAGAAACTTCCTCTGTCAGGTTTTAGTTCCCAGGCTAACCTCCGCTCCTTACCTAAGTGGGCTACAAAGCTGAATCCTCCGGGTGTCTCTAAGCTTCTCAGCTATTACATCTTTAGGAATCGAAACTTGCTCAAAATAGGTGAAACCAGGAGAAAAGCAAAAGGAATCAGTTACAACTGAGAAAAACAAGACAGGGGCTCTTGGACTCCTTGCTCCTAGAGCACCACACTTTTTCAAGTCCCACTGAGTGTGCTCAGTGCCGGGAGCTAAATCCTCTCCATCGGCACCAGGCACAGCTGGGCCAAGGGGAGGAGCTGACCCATGGGGAGGAAATGCGTCTGCAATGTGGCCGTCACCCGAGGACACCGCACACCAGAAGGCCACCTCGGCGTTTCTACACGAAGCCCAGGTGGTAAACTTCTGGTACTTTTTCCCTGATAGCCTGGAAATGCAACTCAATGATACTAAAGGTCTCTTCGAGACTATGACCCCACGGGACCAAATGACCATGTGCAGCGTGGTGATCCGGGATTAGTGGATTACACAAATCTCTCCACAGAGCACATGACACAGTTGAGAAATGCTTAGGAATCAGCCCATTCGCTAAAGAACCTTCTCTATCAAATGGAAAAAGTGGAGTATATTCTACGAAGAGCATTAAGTCACTCTCTTTTTATTACATTTGATGAAGCACGCCTGGTCCAAGTATGAGCTGCTTCAAGTCGTTCGATCAGTTTTTAAAAAGTGGCTTTTTAATTAGACTTAAAATCATCAAGGTGTTGAAATAAAGCTTCTTACTGCACAGGGCTGGAATCTAATCCAATAGCATCTTATTTCTGGGCAAGTGCATCTGGCGATCTCTCCAGAGTGACTGGCCTCTGGGGGCAGTCAGAGAGTGGTTACTTACGATGAGCTGCCTCAGCCCCATGAAGGACTGCTCCACCGAGCCTGCAGTCAGGACCTGCCTCTTGGCTGCCGCCTTCTCACCCAGGAAGCGGAGCATCAGGTCTTTCACAGCATCTCCCTGGGAAGAGGGCAACAAAGTGTTACTGAGGCATCGCCAAGAGCTCCTCTCACTGCACCAAGTGAGAATCGTGTTCTTGGAGACCCTGAAGAACAGTGTGTTTTTAGAGGCACTCTTTAGCGAGCGGGGGAATGGTAAGTCACCCCATCTGTACCAGGCTCACGGCAAGAGGTGAAGCCAGGCTTCCGGCAAGCGTGAGGTGACACTGGAAAGAGCATCTGCGTGGCCTGAACAGAGCTCTGCCCGAGCCGTATGTGTACCCGCAGCACGGGCCTCCAGGCCGAAGGAGCCATCACTGTCCACCACACTGGGTCACAGCCAGGCTCCAGCCTGCACGGTCACCTGCATTCCCCTGCACTGGGCCACCCCCACCCGCTGGCCTGACTCCTCGTATCCTACCCACCCGCGCTGGCACCTGATGCCTGCCACCTACTTCAGAGAGAAGCCATCAAAGGGTGGGGGGGGGTGGGAAAGGCACACTTGTGTGAGCTCTGTGGCCCAGGAGAGATGCACCAGACCTGGGGTGGCAGGGACCACCTCAAAGGGGACAGAAGCACGGGCTGGGCCCCCGCAGTAGCCCAGGCAATGAGTACATGTGAGCCAGCACGGCCCCTGCAGCTGCAGGAGGAAGGTCAAGTGCTCCGAGCTGGGAGTTATTGGGTCACATGCCATGTGGGGATGCCCTGTGACGATGCACAGGTCTTGGTGTCAGGGGAGGGGAGCCCTGCTAGCAGCTGAACCCAGCACCCTATGGTCAGTACCAAGGGCAGTCACCAGGGTCCCAAGCCACAGCTGCAGCCCCCATGAGAACAAGCCCAGGAATCCAGGACAAACAGCAGCGACAGGACAGAGCTCTGGACACCGCTCTCCCTTCCGTGGCCCTGGTGGAGGCGCTGGCGGTGGGAGCAGCAGTTCTGAGTCCCCGAAATGCCTCAAGGCCAGCACAGCCCGAGGTGCCCCGCACTCCCCGCCACACACTCTGGGTATCCAGGGGTCACCTGCTGGCCTGGGGCAGCTGCTGACAAAGGGACACAGAGCAAAGGGCCCAAAGTCTGCAGGTGACTAAAAACAGATACCTAAACTGGGCCACACCCGGGCGAGGTGACAAAGCCTGGATCCCTTGTCAGCTGGGAGCCCATGTCCAGCACAGGAGAGCAAACGCAGCTCCAGAGGATGCAGACCCAGAGGACCCGCATCCTGCATGGACTGCACCTTCCCATCACCCTCCTGCTCTGTTGGAAAAGAAAGCACAGAAGCAGAGCTCCTTCCAGACAAGGTTACTGGAATCCTTTGCTATCTTTCAAACGGTGACACTTCAAAGAAAGCAGCAGCTAGAGCGTGTGAGTGAGAGAGGCAGCAAGGCACCGTCTGTCAGCACCTTCCGGAGTAGAGGATAGCGACAGCCAGAGGCAGCAGGACCCACCGGCTCCGGATTTCTGCAGAAAGAGGCCCAGTTCTGCATTTTCCGGCACCGAGCCACAGCACCGACAAGCATCAACTGTGCAATTTCTGCTTTTAGAGAATTAAGTGGAACACGTCAGTATCAGAGCCACTAAAAGCAGCCAGCTAAGTGACTGAGGAGCAGTCATTTAAGGGCAAAATAAACTGGGTGTGGTGGCACACGCCTGTAATCCCAGCACTCAGGAGGCTGAGGCAGGAGGATGTTGTGGGTTTGAGACCAGCCTGGGCTACGTAGTGAGCTCCAGGTCAATCTTAACTACATAGTGAGACCCTGTCTCAAAACAAAACAAAACAAAACAAGAAAACCCCACCAAAAAACAAACGACAACAACAACAAAATTAAAGGGCAAAATACAAAGAAATCAAACACACGGCTCCAAAGAGATTTGCACAAACTCAATGTGAATGAGACCAAGGGCATTCCTGGAGTGAGTGAGGCAAAGAGCAAATACATCCCGATGCCCAGGAGGGAGGACCGCTTGGATTCTTCCATCCCAGTGCCATTCCTGATCGGTGAGACCACACTGCAGAAGTCTTCGCCCTTAAAATTCTCTTAGTCAACATTTTAGGCACCATGGGATGTCCCTGGGGTAGGAATGTTTGTACGACGACCAGTGTCGCACTGGGAAAGACGTGAGCACACATCTGAAAACTCCTGCTGTGCCACCGAGCAGAAGTGGTCAAGGCACACGGGCTCAAGGGATTGTGTACTGCGCATCCCTGTGGCTGCTGGGGCAAGGACAGGAAGCTTTCCCCAGTGTTACAGATGTCCCAAAGCCACATGTGCTCAGAGGTGGAGCTCTGAGGTTTCCAAAATAAGCATTGCGAATTCCCAGAGGTATGGAGAGCCTACCTAGCACTCGGGGCAGGGTCTCCTGGCCCTCTCTGCACAGGCTCTGAAAATGCACCACAGACCTGGCTGCTGGACACAGGCCCCAGAGCCCCTGGAGCCCCCGAGGCCAGGAGGGGAGTAACTGAAGCTTTATGCCAGGGATTAGGGATCTCAGAGTACAGGGCTCTTATTGTCCACAGGAGCCGCTAGCTGCCATTGCATCTGGGTTAATCCCAGATGCTTTTCAACTCGCAAATGAGATTTTTTTTTTTGTACCAGGGATTGAACTCAGGTCCTTACACTTGCAAGGCAGGCTTAGGAGGGCAGAGAGAGATGTCTGTAGCAATGCCTGTTAGTCTCAAGCCACACTAAAGACACGTTCAGCACATGAATGTTTTGGAGAGATGATCACATAAAATATTTAAAATCTGAACGCCTGTGAGCGCATACAGCTATTATTTGGAAGTAATTAACCTCACTTCCACGGGTGTCACTGTCCCTTTCCTAGTCCATTCGGCACGCATGGGCCTCCATGACCAAAGTCCCTTCTGCGCACAGGGCCGAGGACCTCATCCACCCGACAGGAAATGGGAAGAAATTCTACTGAGCGGGCCGTGGGTCTCCTTTGGGATTTGGGAAGAGAGACACACACAGGATGGGAAGCCAGGAACGGAGGTGCCGGGCTCACCCTCGCCGCCCCAGGAGTCTGTAATCATGCCTGCCATCCAGTTCGGCAACAAACCAACACCGGCATGTAAGTGAATTACTCTCATACACACATTCGCAAATATTTTATCTGACTATGCATGCCACCTGCTGACAATCTGACTTCCAGATTTAACAAGAGAGCAAGAGCTTCGCTACGTATTGTGTTTTAACATCTTTTAAAAATGTGTTTTTTAAAAGTTTTATTTTATAGCAGTTTTAGGTTTGTGGCAAAACTGAGCAGAAGGTGCAAAGGCTTTCCCTAAACCCCCAGGCCCCACAGTCTTTCCTGTTACCAACATCCCCACAACATCTACTACTGAGGATGAACTATTTGACACCTCACCATCACCCTCACCCGAAGTCCACAGCTGACGTTAGTGTTCACTCTGGGTACTGGGATTGAGCGTGTTTGGAAGAAGGAATACTGACGTGTGTCCATCATCACAGCACCGCACATGAGAGTCTCACTGACCTAACGACCCTGCGTTCCACCTACTCATCTCCTCCCTGCTCCCAAGCCCTGGCATCATTTCCAATACCCACACAAAGCCAGGTGTGGTGGTGCATGCCAGGTATCCCAGCACTTAGGAGGCTGAGGCAGGAGGATCACCATGAGTCTGTGGCCAGCTTGGGCTACACAGCAAGACCCTATTTATTTCAGGAACCTGGGAGGCCCGGCTTCCTGTAAGGGCCCAGGGCCACCCCAAAGTAGGTTCCCTGCTCCCAACCAAGGTACACATGCCGGGAACAACACCGCGATGGGTCTTGGTGGTATCTGCTGCAGTCAGTAGGAGAATCTGTGCACTGCAAGGGTGTCTAGAGGAGTTGTGGAGTGTGCTGCAGCCAGGGCCCTGGGAAGGAAGAGATACCACAACGTGCAAGGCTGCGGGTATCGGTGTTGAACCATGGAGAGCAGCCGCGTGACCTGCATGCAGCAAACCTGCAGGCACTGCCAGGCCGGGCCTCCCTAAAACCTGGGGCCATCTCAGCCACAGTGTGCAGGAGGCCAGACTGGGTCTTTAGGGTTTAACATTGGCCCTACCTGTCTTGTTTTGGGAAGGCTGTTCCTTTTTTTGCTTCCCTACTTCTCCTGTTTGGAAAAAGGATGTTATCTTGTGTCCGTCTCACCACTGCATTGTATTTATTTGTTTTTGTTTTTTGAGGGGTGTGTGTATCTTGCTATGTAGTTCAGGCTGGCCTGGAACTATAAGTGATCCTCCTGCCTCATCCTCCTAAGTGCTGGGATTCCTCCTGAGTACTCAGGAGTGCCAGAATCACAGGTGTGCACCACCATGCCCAGCCCCAACACTATTTTTTTTGGGGGGGGTCCCAGGGATCGAACTTGGGACCTTGTGGCTGCAAGGCAAGCAGTGGAACCACTGAGCTAAATCCCCAGCCCCTCAACACTATTTTAAGAAGTGGATGACAGCTGGGCATGGTGAGGCATGCCTGTAATCCAGCACTCTGGGAGGCTGAGGCAGGAGGATCAATGCGAGTTTCTTTATTAAGTAAACAGCCTCAAGTGTTTTTTTACAGTAATGGAAAAACTAATACAAACCTAGTAAAAATCCTCTATATCGTGTATGATTTATGTAAATATAAACACATTTTCGATATTAAAAAAATAAAAGGATGTATCATGTAATAGAGTTCAAATGTCAAAAGTAAATTGATCTCACAAAGTGTAGAGGTACTTCAGAGAATTAGGACAGAATGATCTACTTGCTAGTATTTCTATGACTCTGAAGTGTATTATAGTACTAGGGAAATCAACAGAGCTCCTAATAATTTAGAATAAAATACAGACTCACTGGGCATGGTGGCACAAAACCCATAATCTCAGCATTTGAGAGGCTGAAGCAGGAGGATCACTGCTAGTTCAAGGCAAGTTTGAATTACCTCCTAAGACCGTGGCTCAAAAAAAAAAACAAGACAAAACAAAGCCCCAAACCAAAACAGAAATCTCAGTCAGAATCTCAGGAATCCCAGGATAAAGAGTTCTCCACCCTCTGAAAGGTGTTACATACATGTATTTCATAGAAATAATTGAAAAGGTCAAGATGTGAACAGAGCAGCACCCCACCCTACCTGGATGTTGTCGAACTTGAGGCCCGGCATGGTGAGGTTGTCTATGAACACAGCGCTATACTGCTGTGCTGCTACTGAGGTCAGGACGCTTCTGGTCCCCGGGCTGGGAAGCCAGGCATCACTCCTGCGGTGCATTTCACTCAAGCTCAAGGCTGTGGCAAAAGGGTCGTCCCTCCCTGCAAACACGGCCTGGATCTGTGAGAATGGTTTCGGGGACTCAGGGATTTCCAGGGAAGCCATAGAAACCCCCAACTCTGATCTGTCCAGCCCTGCAGAGTAAGATGAGGTGGGAGACTCCGGACACCTGTCTCCCACCGGCGTGCAGAGAGGGGACAACTCCTGCGGAGCCGAGGCGCCTGCGTTGGGGTTACTGACGGAAATGAAGGTAGAAGTGGTGAAGGAATCAAAGAAGTCGGAGGCCAAGGAATTCGTGCTGATAGTATCTCCAAAAAATTTACTCAGGCTGGGGCTGGGCTGGACCACCTGAGGAGGGGTCTTGGCTGATGCCTCGCTGGCACTGCTGAAGCTTGGCGATTTCACCATCTGAGACTCGAAGCCGTCCTGCAGGAACAGGTGTGGCTGGGAGCCAGCTGGGCTCACCTGGCTGAAGATGGTGCACACTGGCACAGGCTGGTCTTTGGGAGACTGACCCTGACCGGAAGACACTGTGGACACTTGCGCTTCTGGGCCCGCCTTCTCCTCCCCGGGCGCCCAGCCGTGCAGGCTGCCTTCCTCGTCCTCCAACGCAGGCTGCCCCTTGGCTTCCTCCTGGGTGGCGCCTTCTTTCACAGATGTTCTGCTGTCGGGTGTCATGTCGGACGGGTCTCGCCGGGGGTCGTCCCCGTCAGTGTCACTGTCCGGACTCAGAGTGTCCATCTCCTCCTTATCTGTGACGCCGTCCAGTCCGTGATCAGTGGTGCCTTCCAGGGACTGCACAGCATCGCCATCGCCGCCGCCGCCGCCGCCGCCGCCGCCGTCGTCTTCGCTGTCGTTGGGTGAGTCTGAGATCAGCACACTCTCCATCAGGTGCTCACTCAGCTTATCTGCAAAGTGGTTCCAGTCTTCTGATATGGGCTCATTCTCCTCTGACCCAAACTCATCTCCTCCGAGATCAATGGTTTCCTCGTGGTAGGGAAGCTGGCCCTGTTCCTCCCGAGGAACCACAACCACGCCCTCAGCTCCCACAGGGGCCAAGGGAGACGCCTCCGCCAGGCCCCGTTCACCGCAATTACTGTCCTCCATGTCCCTGAAACAAAGACAATCACAAATCCCTAGTCAGCAGTCTGTGCCAGGTATTAAGCTACTCGATCTTGCTTTTGAGCATGCCCCTAGAACTTGGGAAGCTAAGGCAAGAGGATTGGTGCAAGTTCAAGGCCAGCCTGGACTACATAGCAAGACCTCATCTCAAAAATTTTTTTTATGGTTTAAATATGCAAATGATATCGCTTCTCGGCCTTTTGGTTAAGATGAAGTGTAATATGCAAATGGTTCAAAATTTAGAAACTTTCATTCTCCACTCTTTTATATTAAATTGTGGCAAAATGCCCCCAAAATTGAATGTCCTACCCATTTCTGTTTATTGGCTTTTGTTTTTTTGAGACAGGGTCTCACTATGTAGTTCAGGCCAGTCTTGAACTCCCTATGTACCCCAGGCAGGCCTCAAACTCTTGGCAATGCTCCTGCCTCAGCCTCCTGAGTGCTGGCATCACAGGTGTGTGCCACCACGCCCAGCTTTCATCTTAGCCATTTCTAAATGTAGTAGTGCTACTACATCCTCATTCCTTTGTAACCAATCTTAAAGCTTTGTATTTTGCAAAACTAAATTTTTATACTCCTAACTTCCCTTATATCCATCTCCAGGCAGCCATTATTCTACCTTTTACTTCTTTAAATTTCACTAGGAAACTTACGTTAAGTGGAAATGTACAATATTTGTCTTTCTGTAACCTGGCATATTTTATTAGCATCATAACCTCAAGGTTTATCCAGGTCGTACCATGTGTCAGAATTTGCTCCCTTAAATGGACGAATAACTTCCCCTTGCAGCCAGGTGTGGTGGTGCCTGCAGGGGGAGGATCACTGCAAGTTCCAGGCCAGTTTTTGGGTAAACCGTGAGTTCAAGGTCAGCCTGAACTGCATAGCGAGCCCTGTCTCAAAAAAATAAAAACATAATCCGCCGCATGTGTAGAGCACGCTCTGTTTATCTACTGACTTGTTCATGGATGTTTAAGTTGTTCCTCCTTTTAACTACTATAAGTACTGCTGCTGAGAACGTGGTGTACGACTATCTCTGAGACCTTGCTTTGGCTCTTTTGTGTATGGATCCAGAAGAGGAATTGCTGGACCATATGGAGGGATTGCAAGTTTTTTGTAGCAGCAGACATAACATTCCTACCAATAAGCAGGGCACAAGTGGCCCAATTTCTCCACATTCTCACCCTCCCTTGCTAGTTTTTGGTTCTATTCTTCTTTAAACCAGTACCCATAGTAATATGTGTTGGAGTTCTAGCTCTCAAAACATTGTTTATTCTTTAAGACTAGGCTGAAGTCCCCCTCTTCCTTGAAGACCTCCCAAGGCGCTCTGATCCACTGTCATCTCTCACCCTGTCCCTCGGAGCTTGTAATATTGTCTGCGACTCCTGGTAACTGGAGGCAGCGGTAATAGCACAAGCAAAAGTGACACACTAAGAAAACAGCAAACACCGATAACAGCAAACTAGGCGACCACTTCCGGCATCTCCTTTGTGCCTGGTGACGCAGTACGTGTGCATCCACAGCTGGTCCTCAGCTACAGCTGCTAGGATGCTCCTCGAGGAAACAGGCTGAGCTATGCAGCTGCATCAAAGGCATACAGCGAGCTTAATTCACGAGCCGGGACCAGCTGAATCCAGAAACCAGCCAGCCCTGCCTGAGGGCACAGAAAACGACAGAAACGGGACGGGACCCGAGACGACACTGCGTCTGCGGGAAGGGTCCTAGGCTGGCAGGCTCTCAGCTGGCACTGCCCAACCTCTCCTGGCCACCGCGGCGCTGAGCCTCACCTGCCACCCGCCCCTAGGGCTGGGGAACGGGTCACCAGCAACCGCGACCCGGGTCCGGTGGACGCTGACAGTCCGGAAGTAGAGAAAAGCATCCGGCACAGCCCCACCCGCGGGTAGTGCGCCTGCGCATGCCGGTACTCAATGCCTACCTCCCCTGGCCGGGAGCCGCAAGGTACCAAAAAAAAAAAAAGGAAATGCAAAACTTTGTGCTTAAGGGTGGAGCGAAGACTCAATGACACGACAATGATCCAGTGCCGACAGTCCATCCCATTCTGTCCAGGGATGATGTGTGAGGAAGGCTACGCGAAGCACAGACATATCTGCGCTGTGCTTCAGCACACAGTCTCCCACCAGAACCTGGAACCCTAGCGCCGCCTCTCGCAAAGTCCCTGACTATTTCCTTCCGTCCGGACTCTCCTACCCAGAAGCCGCCATAACGGAGAACCCGGATGAAAGCCTAAATGGGCATGTTCCTGAGCCGTGCGCTGCTGTCATTGGCCGCTCTCAAGGACCATACTGATGACGATGTAAGGAAATAGGAAGCGAATCCTACGGAAACTGCTCTGGGCCAAAAATAGTGAATTCAGAGTTTGTGGCTCTAGACAGGCAAGGAATGGACGCTGCGTCAGCGCCGACGTGGAACGCGCAGGCTCTAGGGAAGATTTGAGCGCCTGAGCCGCAGGCTGTTCACTCTTGCAGCATGGAGGACGATGCGCCGGTCATCTACGGCTTAGAGTTCCAGGTGGGCTACGAGAGGGTGGCAGATATGCTCATCCCGCCCCTGACGGCACGCGGGAAACAACGGTTACTTACGGCGCTTGTTATCTCCCGATGCCTGATCTCAGCGGGGGAAAAGCCTTCCTGGGCGAATTGGGCGCAGGCTGGGGCCGCAGGAGACCCTTGGGCCTGTCCTGGGAGCGGCTGATGGGCAGGGTGGTTCCTCCCTCCCCCGACCTGCGCTGGGCAGCTCACTGAAGATGTACGGAGATGTGGGTGTCCACGCCTTCCTCTGAGAATTGGAGTTCCTGAAGGCAGCAACAGGGTTTGGTTTTTTTAAAGGGTTTTAATGTTGACCACGCCCATAATCTCAGCATTTGGGTGGATGGAGCACGAGTATTGCCATGAGTTCGAGGCCAGCTTGGGATACATAGGGAATTCAAGGCCAGTCTGAATGAGAAAGCGAGACTCTTGTTTAACACAAGCAAGCAAACACACCATAAATTTAATGTTGAAAAGTTTTAAGTACACCGAAAATTTAAGGAGATCCACCAGAAGTTCTTGTGTTCCCTTGCTTTAACTTCCCCTAATGCCAACATCTTATATAACCACGGTACAGTACATTATAAAGGTTAGAGATTAACACCGACATAATACTTCAGCCACCGGCTTTACTTGGATTTCACTTGTTTTTCCACCACTGTCCTATTTCTCTTCCATCCTAACTTCTCCAGGATCTGTTCCCCATGGCTGTCATGTAGTAAGTGCTCAACAAATGATTAAGGCTAGAATGGATTCTGTGGTGTAGGCAGTGGAATGGCGATCCCGTGGGCAGTTTGGAAGTGCAGGAAGAAAGCTGGTGTAGGTAGAGTTGATAGGGAGGGAGAGCAAGGATGGGAAGGTGGGCAGGTGGGGCTTGTGCAGGGCTGATGAAAACCCTGTCCTGGTTCTGATCTGTTCAAGTAGCTTTTGAGAGTGTTGTGTTTGTGGTGCCCGGGGTCAGGGAGAGAGAGAGAAATAAAAACAGACACTGCTGCACAATGTACTTGGTGCCTAGTCAAGTGGGGCAGCGTGTGTCACAGATATAAAAGATCTTGACTTTGCCACAGCTTATGGTGAGAAAGCACCGGTGTTGCTAGGACCCCAGGAGTCGAAGTGCTGGGCCTCCTACTCCGTAACTGTGCAACCTGGGGCCTGAGTTTCCTTGCCAATAAAATGGGAAAGTCAGCCTCTACCCTGTGGCTGTGTGATCATTAAATGAGCTAATAATTTAACTCAAGGACCCCAAATGGTGCCAGGCGCTGCTGTGAGTGTAGATTGTGCTATGAGGTTGGATAGGCGGCCTTGTCTCACTCACAGGCCGGATGTCCCAAGCAGCAGTTATGGGGCACTGGCCTGTGTGTCTGATGCTGCTCCGCAGGAGACCGACACGGATTGTTTGGATAGGAAAGTGCTGAGCAGATGAGTGGTGTTAAACGAAGTTCTTAGGAGCCAGACTAATTCATTTTAAGGAAAGCTTTTCTAACCACTGCGATTACTTGTAAATGGGGCAGACAGCACCGGCAGTTTAGGACTGAGGTTGCTTAAGGCACAACTGACTCAACTGAGCGAGGGCACAAACGTTCATTGAGGAACTGCTGTGTGCGGATCAGTGTGCGTGGGCCAAACAGGCGCCGACCCTTTGAGAGCAAGGGCTGGTGTCAAAAATCTGTGCCAAGGAGTGAGACACAAACCTAGCTGCACTGTGCTTTTTTTTTGATATCTGGGATCGAGCTCAGGTCCTTGGGTTTGCAAGGCAGGTGGCAGAACCACTGAGCTAAATCCCCGGCCCTTCACCGTGCTTTTTAAAGGTTCGTTTCAGATTTGTTTGTTAAAATGCTTTCCTGCTTCCCTTTTTAAAAAGTGTCTTTTCTTCTGTGAGATTGAAGAAGATGGTTCCAAATTTATAATGCTTTCCTACAGCCATGTCAGCTCTCCTCTCTTGAAACAGGTACTCTGTTTAGACACCCCCCACCGCCTATTGTTGGTGGGGACACGAAGGACAGCTGGGCAGCAGGAATGTAGTTTTGCCGAGGAGTAGAGGTCTGAAGCTCTCACAGGCAAACAGCAGCCAACTCTCACCAACCTCGGTTTTTATTAGATGCATGCACAATACTTCCATGAGAATAAACAGTTAGTCCCTTACAGATTATCTCTAGCAAAGCATTAGAAAATATTTTTTATGAACACCCGGTTCTAGTTATTCACATACTTTCTCAAAGCAGACTGTTCCCAGAATGTTACCGGATTGTTCTCGAGACTGTGCAGCCTTGAACTTCTGAGTCGTGGTGCCGTATGCAGAACCACAACTGCAGTTCCTGTCCCAATCCATGTCCCCATGTAACCTCCTCCTCCACACCCGCCCGCTTGCTTGACCTCAATCATTTCCGCAGTTTGAATACCCGTTCATTGTCATCTGCCTTCCTGAATTACTCTTCTTTTTCAGGATGGCACTGGTTCCATTTATACTTATTTTACTTCTATTGTACAGCAGTGGCACTTAATTCTGCCTTCTGCCTAAAGTGGAGCTGGAGGGTGAATTTTGAGAAATGTTAACTTGTTTTTGTTTTTGTTTTTGGTACCGGGGATCAAACTCGGGTCCTTGCACTTGCGAGGTAGGCCACCGAACCACTGAGCTAAATCCCCGGCCCGAAATGTTAACTTGTTATTGTGGTCTAGGCAGCATTTTTACACTTGATCTTAGCCAAAAGGCCGAGACAGGATTAGGCAGCATTTTTGATACTTAATCATGGACTGGCTTGTCTTTTGGAGTCTTTGCCTCCTCTTATGAGAATCTACTTTTCTCTTTTTTTCTTTTTGGGACAGAGTCTTGCAATGTATCCCAGGCTGGCTTCGAACTCACAGCAATCCTCCTGTCTCAGCCTCCCAAGTGCAGGGGTTACAGGCATGTGCTGTCACCCTTGGCTGAGTGTCTGCATTTCTTTAGGGCAGGGATTATGCCTCACGCCTCGTGGGCACCTCTGCAGCATGTACAGAAAGGGCCACCACAGGCATAGTCAGCTTTCCGTCAGTGACTTGAAGCATAGCGAAGTCTTTTCACGTAAAATAATCATTCTGTTTCAAGTGAATTCTCTTCTGGGTCCTCTTTTTGGTTGACTTTCACGCTTGTGTCATCTGGGGTGATGGCGTGTATGTTCCTGTATTCGAAGCTCTCTGTCTTCCAGTCTGAAGGAGGGAGCTCTCCACGGCCTTCTCACCACCAGGTTGGGTTCCAGCTCTTGGAGCAGTGGGGGCCGTTTCTCTCAGGGCAGCCATGTCTCTTCCTTGCGAGCATCACTTCCTCCTGAGCCAGACGTTTAAGTCAGAACATAGCCCATATTCACGCCCCCAGCTTTTTGTATGGTTGTGCATGTCTTTGGTAGAAGGTGTGTAGATTCAAAAGGCCTTTATGGGTTTCATAGTTTTGAAGCGGCAGATGCTGTCCATGTACATCTGCGGGAGAGGCTGCAGGAATAGGGGCCATGGGGCCTTGAGATGCCTTGAAAGGCTGAATGGACATCTCCCAAAGCCAGAGAAAGTCAACACAGATTTAGTGGCTTAGGATAACACAGTTTCATAGCTCTCTAAGTCAGGAGCCCAACATGGGTCTCATTAGGCTGCAGTCAAGACCTCAGGAGTCTTTGTCCCTTGGGGGAGGCTCCAGGGAGAATCTGTGTCCTTCCTTATCTCCAGAGCCAGCAATGGCTCTGAGACTCTCGTGCTATCGCCTCTGATTCTCTATTTTGTTGTCATTTCTCTGTCACTGACTGCAGCCCAGAAATGTTTTCTGATTTCAAGGACCCATGTGATTAAGCGATCCAGGGTAATCTCTCCATCTCAAGTGCCATTACTTTGATTACACCCGAACAGTTCTCTTACCATGTGTGTGAACTTATGTATGTCCTCAGGGACGAGGACATGAGCATCTTTGTGGGCCTTACTGTGCCTATCACAGGGGCACGTGGGGACTTGACATGGGTCTAGTTCATGGGCACACTGACAGACAGCTGGGTTTGAATCTACAGGCTCAAACTATTAATTCAAACTCTAATATCCAGGTGGGTTTTTTTTTTTTTTTTTTTTTTTTTGAGACAGGGTCTCACTATGTAGTTGAGAGTGACCTGGAACTCACTATGTAGCCCAGGCTGGTCTTGATCTTACAGTGATCCTCCTGCCTCAGCCTCCCAAGTGCTGGGATTACAGGCATGCACCACCACGCCCAGCTGTGTTTGGTTTTTTGAGACAGGGTCTCACTATGTAGTTGAGACTAACCTGGGACCCACTATGTAGCCCAGGCTGGTATAATTTCTTTTCTTGAAGCCTCAGATTCATCACTTGAAATTCTTAACTTAATTGTTTTTTAATGATTGAATGTGTTAAGTATAGTTACTATAATTTATGCTGTTGAATATTGTCTACATCTCATGTTCAGGAAATCCAGCAGCTTCTGAGATTATTGGTGGCTGATAGATCTCAAGCAGGTCTTGCTCCAGGAATTACTCTCAGCTACTCTGCCCAAGATCACACCTTCTCTTGGGGAAAGTTTGCATCAAGTGACTGACCAGTGAGGGTCAGGGATGGGTTGCCTAAAGACCTTGCCATCTTGCTTCTCTTTTGATGCCTCACCCAGCCTCAGAGCTCCTCACAGGAGCGACCCAAGCTTGCACTGCAGTTGTGATGCAATCTGACTTCTGCTCAGTGCGGCTTCTTCACCCTCACAGGATGATGCCCAGGACCACTCTCCACAAACTCCTGAATGTGTATGTTAGAGTTTGAGTATTTGTGTTCCAAGGAACTCAGTCACTTGACTCCCCCGAAGGTCTCTTTTTGTTATTTGTTTTTGTCCATATGGTTTTGTCTCATTGTACCACTGGTTATTTTTACTTGAATGTTAGATTGCGTTTGAAAACCTGAGAAACTTTGAATGTTACCTTCCTTCAGAGGCCTTAATGCTTCTGTCAGGAGGTCCCTAGCCTACAAACAGTGGCCTGCTTAATTACCTTCATTCTCCCTGCTTAAAGGGTTAAGACAATTTAGAGATGATTATTCTGTGCCAGCTGCTGTGCTTCTGGTTTCCCTTCACTTCTAGGCTGTAGCCCTATAAATTGAGTACTTTCTCCACTCTTGGGTGTTTGTGTTGTAAGCCCCCTGAATCTGTCAAAACGCACCTTGGCATCAGCCTTTTATCAGACTGTCTCAGTGGACAGATGCCTCTAGGTGAAAGACAGTCAGGCCTAGGTCTTCCTTTCAGCCTCCCTCCTCCCCTGGTTCTCTGAAGCCTTTGGAAAGACCCAGAGTATCCTATTTAGTTTTTGTAGCCTTTAACTGCAGGGAAGTTTTTAAAATCCACCTGTGCTGCCCCTGCCGGGAACTATTTCGTGCCATATTGTTTTGTCAAAGTATAATCTAACCAATCTCTCACTATTGAAATAATGGTTTTATTTAACAGTGTAACCACAGCAGCGTGCATAATTTATCTGTTGTGTCACATGTCCCCATGTGCAGTTCTCGTCCACACAGCGTTGGAGTGGAGCTGTGCCGGAAGTGTCTGGTTGCCTCAGACCCTGATTCAGCCCTTTTCAGCAGTAGCTTGAGAGAGGTGCTGCTCTCTCAGGCCCAGTGAAGCTGACTTTATAAATGTGTGTGCATTTTCCTTCCCTCCTGCAGGCACGGGCTCTCACACCTCAGACTGCAGAAACAGATGCCATCCGGTTTTTGGTTGGGACACAGTCTCTTAAATATGATAATCAGGTAACTATTTTTGACAAACGTATACATGTTAATTACCGAGCTTATTCTTGGTTTTATAACCATTTTGCTCTTGATTTTTCAGGCAACATTTGAGAGAGAAATTAATGCTGTGCAAACAAACTACAACTTTCCATCGATTTAAATATATCTTTCAAGCTATTATCCAACTTTGTATAATGATGGTGTGCAGTAATTTACATGCACTTTGCTTAGCTTCACTTGTGAATTTTGTCACGGTTTTGTGGTCGCCAAGTCTTACTGTATAAGTGACCAAGACTCAGTTGGGTCCTAGAGGCAATGGGTAACTCTAATTGCTCCTGACAGTCCATCCAGTTGACCCTGGACTAAGTTGCTGTCCATTCTTCATACGCAGCTCCAGCTACCTCTGCCAGGTGACCAGGAGGTGACCCATTTGCCACTCTGGCCACTGTAGTGGACACACAGAGTCTAGATTCAGTTCATGGCTTGGCACTAACTGTAACCTCAAGTAAATGGATTCACCTTGCTAGACTTCATTTCCATTATCATTAAAATGGAAATGAAACCCACTTTATGCTCCTCCCAGAGAGATGGTGGATACTATAGGGATGTGTGTTGTCTGTGCTATGACAGAAAGAGGTACAGAGCCAGGTGCGGTGGTGCATGCCTGTAATCCTAGCACTTGGGAGGCTGAGGCAGGAGGATCATGAGTTGAAGCCCAGCCTGGACAATTTAGCAAGAGCCTGTTTCAAAACAAAGATATTAAGAAAAGGGCTGTGGGTGTAGCTCATTGTGAAGGCCTTGGCTCCAATCCGTGGCTAACCCTGCAGCTACTTTTTTCTATCACAATTAAAGGCAGATCTGATGACTTTCTATATCTGCACTTAGTTCCAGTTTGAACATGAGCCTAAATAACTGGTAGAAACGTGTGTTTCTGATAGGTTGGTTGTGCCTTTCTGCTTCTGGGGGAGGGGTGGACCTTCACTGAGAATGATGTTTTCATTCATTCATTCATTCATTCAAGAAATGCTGACTTTTGTCTATTAATAGAACTCTGTAGTTGCTATATTTTTGTGTGCTGGGTGCACAAAAATCTACAGATATTTGTGCCCTGAGCTGTGTGTTCAGTGGAATGGTAAAATCAGTGTGCAGATGCTGAGGACAAGGCTTCTGTCCACTGCAGGAGACCAGGCAGCCTGCGGCTCAGCCAGAGATAAGGGCTAGGGTTTAGATAAGAGGTCTTTTATTTGCTTCTGCAGTACTTTTTCACCAGATTTTCATTGTATGCTGGTAACCTCCATTTGTTACGTAGATAGCAGGAGGAAGACTCCTGTCTTCCTCTTCCCCCGAGGAGGTCAGGGTGGGCCAGGGACTAGGAGGGCTGGAGTTGGTCCTCTCACAGCTCTGGTGTTTACATCCTGATTCCAGGGAGACTGGCTGAAGTGTTTCTCATGGGTTCTTGTGCTCAGTTCAGATGGAAATCACAGGTAGACCAAGTGCAGCTCCCTTAGTGTTAGCAGATTCTGGGGCCTTGAGTTTTTCATTAGCATCAGTGGCTCTCCCAGTAGTGGGAGCCAGCACTTCCTGGGAGCTCTCTGGAGCTTTTCGGCAGCAGGGGCAGCAACTCCAAGCACTTCTCTGTGAATCTCCATTGCTCCTGCTGTTCTCCTTCATCGTTACCACTCTCAGTGCATCCAGTCAGCCTGCTCTGAGAGGCTTTGTTAGGACGTACACTGCAGCTGGAAGGGAGCAGCACACGGGAGGAGGTTTACTGCCTGAGCTGGTGAGGGTGAGGAGCGCTGCTCGCATAGACAGAGAGGCCTCTCCAGCCTGCTCCCTGCATGCTTTCTCCTCAGTCCTATCGTCCTGTGCGGGTGAACAGGCTCTCCCGCATTGGCTGTCCTCAAGGAGCAGCTCCTTGTTGGCCAGAGTGAGGACATCTGAGGCGATTACGGAGGGTCAAGCTGTCCGAAGAGGCTGCAGGGCACCTGAACTCTTCTGGAGTGTTGGACACTTTCTTTCCTGGGGAGCCTTCTTGGCTTTTCAGCTGTAGCTCTGTGGTTCCATGTTTGTGTTTTGATTAATGACAACTTTGTTCCTTCGTCCCCTATACCTGGAGGTCCTGTCCTCAGCCACTATCTGAGTGTCCTGGGTGCTTTGTAAAAATACAGATTCCAGGACCCATGCCCTGCTAACCGAGTCTGTTTTTCCCACTTTTCTTCTGTCCCTGCTCTCCTTCCTCTCCCCTTCCTTCTCCCCTCCTGCTCTCTCCACCCTTTCTGTGCTCTGCCTTTCAGAATAGAGGGCTATTGTTCCCACGGGCTGCTGAAGCATTGCAGGGAAGCCCAGCTTCCTGTGTGGCCGATCTGAGGGCCCCAGTCATGCTACCAAGGCCCCCTTGCCCTCCTTCTGCTTCTGTCTCCTTTCAAGGTGGGGCTCTGTCTGCAAGGTCTTGTGTAATTGGTGGGTCCTGCCACACCTGGGGACTCTTCCATGAGGTCCCTTCAGCTCTCTGTGACACCCAACATGCCCTCTGGTGCAAATTCCCCTTCCAGGCCTAACTCTTTGGAGAAGCTGGCTTAACTCTCAGGTCTGCTGGAATTCTGCTAATAGTTTATCTAGGCTATGCTCCCCAGGCCTGTGGTCCCCCGTCCTTCCAAATCCACCCCTGTCAAAGCATTTCCTGGCGATACAGGACTGTGCGGGAGGCTAAAATGGGAAATGGAAAGACCTGAAGACTTGCTGAGCTCAGAAAGGAAGGCGCAGGGCATTCTGGGGGTGTACTCAGCCAGTGGAGGTGCGATCCTGTGACCTGGCCACTCTCGTGCATCACGCTGAGAGGGGTCTGAAGGAAGGCTTGGGCCAGCAGTGCAGCTGTGCAGGGAGCCGTGGCCAAATCCTCCCAGGAGAAGGCCAAGCTCTGTGTGGAGGGGCGTGAGCGAAGGCCGCGCTGCTGATGGAGGCAGGGCGGGGTCCTCTGACTGGCAGGACGTGGAGGGGACAGGGCCGCAGGTGCATCGGGGCTCCCTCCAGGGGCTCTCCTAAGGCCGCAGTGCTGCAGAGGGGGCGTGGCTGAGCGGTGCGTCTCAGTGCATTCTGGCTTCTCCCCCAGTGTTAATGGATTTCTGACAAGTAGGAGATGTGTCAAACACTGAAGGGAAAACTTCCCCAATGACACGAAAATTACTTATGATTTTGTATGTTACCTTTTAGTCTGTGGTCACATGCGATGGTTTTGTATAATTGAATGTCTTTTCATCCTTGCTTTTAAAACTGAGTGCTCTCATAACATTTTTGGTCTTCAGAAGCATAAGTTTTAAAGCCACATAATATTCTATAATATATATTTTTGGTTCATTCTTTGTGGCACATTTAAAGAAATCAAGTTACTCTTTCAGCTCCAACATTTGTATAGTTCTATTTACATATTATAATGAGCCTATTCAAGGCGTTCTATGTATAGAACATATACCAGTGTTACCATAGCTTTCCTGGTATTGGTGGTCACCACTTAAATTAATTAAGTATTAATTGATGTTGTAAAATTCTTGTTTTTAAGCATTGAAGTCATTGGTTGTAATGAAGAACGATTTGCCCTTAGCTGTGTGTTACTTGTATCCATGCCGATGAGTTTCTGTTTCCCGGATGAGAGGCGCACCCCAAGTGTACAGCTGGGTGATGATTTCAAAGATAACAGTGGTGATTTTTCCCCTAACGAGAATGGGACAGCACCCCCATCCAGACTTCTGTTTAATTCAGGCTGGGGGCTTCTCACTGTTCCCAAATGGCCACCGACCTCCTCACTGCAGGTGGGGAGTTAGTTGCAAGCACACTTAGGGCAGAATTAGGCGGGTTCGAATTCTACACCGGCAATGCTGAGCGCCCCTACAGGGGATGGGGAGTTTCACATGGAATGTGGTGAGCAGGGGAGCAGTGTAGCAGCGGACCCTGAAACACCAGGCTGTCTGAGGGCCAGGGCAGGTGCTGCTGTTGGGTGTCACAGAAGCGTTTTTAAAAATAGCACTTAATATTTGCTTCCGTTACAAAAGCCATGCAGATTATTTACAAAAAGATGTGAAAATGCAAGTAAAGCACCAGGGTAAATGAAAAGTGCCTGTGATCCCAGGATTCAGAGACAGCCAGCTGCCCTCCAGTTCTTCTCCCAGTCAGCTCTGCATGTTTTTAAAAACAAATAAAAAAGTGGCTGCAGATATGCGAGCTCCTCCTGACCCCTGCTCCCTGGGGGTGTGCTGTGGGTGTCTTCCTGAGGTATCCGTACCTCCATGGCACTGTGAGTGGATACCTGACCGCCTACTGCGCCTGGCCAGCAGGTGCTGTGATGGTTCTGTTTCTGAGCATCTCAGTGCTTTCTCACTGCAGAAATCAGCACCACAGTGACTCTTCCTGGACAGAGATCTTTCTGCAGATCCACGATTGTTTCCTTAGAATAAATTTATATTTATATTTATTTATGTATATATATTTTTTTCATTAAGTTTATTGGTACATTTTAGGTATACAGTAGTTACATTCATCATTGGGATCTTGTACCTTTATGTGACTTATCTTAGTTCTTATTTTTCCCCATTCCCTGTCCCTACCTTTACCCCCTCCACTCTTTGTTTACAAAGACATTGTTTCCATGTTTTTCCTTTTCTTATATTTTTCTTTTCTCCTTTCCCCTACCCCTCCCACTGCCCCTACTTCTTTAGACCTTTTCTTCCTATTACACAATATCAATTATAGATTTTGATCCTATAAATTTATTTTTAAAACAATGTTATGTTCTCATTTATTTGACTATCAATAAGTGAGTGGATGTGAAAATCAGTTCACTTCCTCTAAAAATTACCCAAGCCATGAACGCCTGTAATCCCAGCACTCGGGAGGCTGAGGCAAGAGGATCACTGTGAGTTTGAGACCAGCCTAGGCTACATAGTGAGTTCCAGGTCAGTCTCAACTACATAGTGAGACCCTGTCTCAAAAACCAAAAATAAATAAATAAAGAAAAATAAAAATTGCCCAGAAAAGTATGGAACTAGTGTATTTAAACTTTTGACTTGGTGACCTTCCTGTAGCACGGTTGTAATTAATATTATAAAAATCAGAAGTGCTGACTGCCTTGTTTTAAAAAATCAGTGAAAAATGTGCTTAAATACCTTTCCACCTTAATCATTTCTCACACGACGAGTTCTGCCCACCATGGAGCAGCCGCATGTAGTCCAGCCCTGGCCCCGCTGGGCAGCTGTCCCCACCCCTCCTGTCTTTCCCACAGCCACACAGCTTTGCCGAGTTTCTGGTTTGCACAGACAGCCCTGGCACAGCAGCCTTCACGCCAGAGCTTTGGGTGTTTTATGTTTCCGTAAGACTGGGGAGGGCCCGAGGGCAGTGTTAGGTAGCGCACAGTTGTACAGTCGTCCTCTGCCTGTGGAGCGGAGTGCAGTAAGAACTGGACTGCAGAAGGGTGCACTGTTGGTATGATAAGAACAAGCGCTATTCCAGCAGTATCTGTCGTGAAATGTGCATTTGATTATTTTTCACGGTCACATTGTTTAAGACCCTGATGCCTCCTTTTCTTGCATTTGTAGATCCACATCATAGATTTTGACGATGAAAACAACATTATAAATAAGAACGTCCTCCTCCACCAAGCGGGTGAAATCTGGCACATTAGCGCCAGCCCCTCGGACAAAGGGGTGTTGGCGACCTGCTACAATAAAAGTGAGTGTGGCCTTGGGTGGGTGTTTGGGTAGCTAAGGTGTGGCGTGAGATGGAGTCTGTATCGCGAATGATTCGGTGCGGGATGTGTAAGCCTTGACCACCAGCGAAGGGACTGGCTCGTGGTGTCCCCTCGTTCACCTGCTGCCGCACACTGTGGCCCCTCTGCCGCCTCTGTCTGAGCAGTCTCCCCCCACGCTGCTTCGCAAGGGGAGGCAGCCTGCTCTGCTTAGAGGGGACCACGAGTTTCCGAATGAGAACGGAAGTGGTCCTCCCTAGAAAAGACGTGCTCAGACTTTCGGACGAATCTTTGTTGCACCTGACGCAGGTCACTCCATCCTCCAGAATACCATTGCTGCGTCTTGCGTCCTCGTCATCGTCACAGAATGTCCCTTCACCTTTGCCGTGTGCGGCTGGTCAGACGCACTTCCCAGGTCTGACTGGCACTCAGGAGCAGGGGTCCCCAGAAGTGAGTGCTGTCCCTGCGTGCAGTGCCACCCATTTCCCCAGAGCCCACTGCACCTGCTCAGTGTGCTCTGCAGCTGGGGTGCGGAGCGAGCCCCCGCGTTCCCTGTTGTTGGCATGGTTCCTCTCTGCCCCACGGGCCACTCACATTGGTGCCTGTGCAGCAGCTGTGACATCCATTCTGAAAGGTGGATGGAGTGAAACAAGCTGAGATCCATGTGGGCATTGTTTCTGGAGGTCCTAGGGGCATCTTCCCTCCTCGTGGTGCTGGTCTGATCCCTGCCAGAGGATTTTGGAGCTGCCAGACGCTGTGCCGCGCTGTCCATGCTCTGTCCCCGTGAGCCAGGCTGATAGTGTCTGCATGAAGATCTCTCCAGAGCCTCGTGAGAGAAACCATGTGATATTGAAGCTTTTGCGTCAGATTTATTTCACGTCACATTATGGTCTCCATGTGCACCCGTTTCCCTGCATATGACTCAAGCCTGTCCCTCTTCACGGCAGAGTAGTACTCCACGGTGTGTAAATACCACAGTTTCTGTATCCATTCATCTGTCGATGGACATATGGGCCCCTTCACGGTTTAGCTGCCGTGAGTGGGGTTGGTGGGACTTGTTAGCTTGTGCTTTGACGAAAGCCCCATCGTTTGCTGTCCACGGTGTCCCCGTGTGTTTTTGTCCCTTCTCTTTGCAGCTCTGCCTCCTTTCTGCCTTGGTTGGTCTGTGTGATGTCTTGGGTGATGGCAGCAGCTTTGACCTGTCCCTGGACACGTGGTGGCAGGGTGGACAGTGCGTGGGAAGCGGGCCCAGCAGGTGCAGAGGGCACCGGTGTGCTGTGCTTCTCGTGGAGAGCTGGCCTCACGTTTGCTGTAGGTCGTGATCCTTGAGGAGGTGGTGCGCGGACATAACACAGCTTCCTTCTTTCTTTGTCCTCCCAGCCGAGTGCTACACTCCGTTCACGGGGCGCTGAGGTTCTTTCTGGGCTCTTCCTTGGAGGGAGGCAGAAGGGGATGTGCAGAGGGCTGTAGAGCGTGTCTTGAAGTGGAGTCCTCCGGAGAGATTGGCTCTTCTGCAGAAGCTCAGTGTGGCCGGGGCTGTAAGCCAGGGCTTTTAAGTGTATCGTAATTTCAGTCCGCAGAATCTCGGCAACTCAGTGGAAGTTTCGGTTCTCTCGGACACACACTGACACACACTGGGTCAGTATCACAGTGTCCCTATAAATCAACCCAGAAGTTGAATTAACTCACACTGTGTTTTTCAGTGCAAATGAGCAAATTTCCCTCTTTACCCACACCATCCTACTCAGGAGGAAAGAGAAAGGAAATCAGTACTACAGCTGGATGTGGTGGCACCACACTTGTAATCCCAGCACTGAGGAGGCTGAGGCAGGAGGATCACTGCGACTTTGAGGCCATATAGGTCACATAGTAAGTTCCTGTTTCAAAAAACATAAGAAAACAGCCACAGAGTCTCCTGTTCACAATACTCTCCTGATGAAGGACGCTCTCCTTCATCAGGTGTTAGAAATGACAGGAATTGGTTGTAGGTTACGGGAACCTGGAGATTCAGACTTTCTGGGATCAAATGGTAACACACCTGTCCTCGTGCAAGTGGCAGATGGAGTTGGTACCAGGTGACTGAAAGGGATTCATGACCACCTTGGATCCTTGTGTAGCCATTGCTGGAGACCAAAGTTTTCCGAGTTGGGGTGCTGGGGCGAGTTGTGTGTACGATAAACTCTTGGGACTTTTTCTATATGAGTGATGAAGGGTTTATAAAAAAGAATCACCTTTTCTTTCTGATAATTTTGTAGCAGAAATGCATTAGCCTGCAAGCAGAGTGAGGACGCTTTCCTAGGTAGAGACCGTCTCAGCCGTACTGCGCACGCTGTGTGTGACTGGCGCAGTAGATGTTGCTGCTGCAATACGGAAAGGGGCTGGTCCAGGTGACAGGACAGTGCAAGCGGCCCCTGGTGGCCTCCAGTCTTGACTTGGCCAACTTGTTGCTGCCTGGGAAAGCTGGCACTTAAAGAGTTAATGCAGGTAACTCATACTGTCAAAATCACCTCCCCGGCGTGGTTCCCACCTCAGGGGCTTCAGGGAGACTGTAAGCCTTGCTATGCATCCTGTTTCTTGATTTTTGTTCTTTTTTCTTTCACTACTGGTAATTTAACCCAGGGCCTTGCATGCTTTCTACCCCTGAGGTACACCTCTTGCCCTTTTTTTTTGTTTGTTTTTTTGAGACAGGGTCTCACTATGTAGTGAGACTGACCTGAAACTCACTAGGTAGCCCAGGCTGGTCTCGAACTCTCAGTGATCCTCCTGCCTCAGCCTCCCGAGTGCTGGGATTACAGGTGTGTGCCACCGCCCGGCTCCTCTACTGGTAATTTAACCCAGGGCCTTGCATGCTTTCTACCCCTGAGGTACACCTCTTGCCCTTTTTTTTTGTTTGTTTTTTTGAGACAGGGTCTCACTATGTAGTGAGACTGACCTGAAACTCACTAGGTAGCCCAGGCTGGTCTCGAACTCTCAGTGATCCTCCTGCCTCAGCCTCCCGAGTGCTGGGATTACAGGTGTGTGCCACCACGCCCGGCTCCTTCTGCCCTTTTTAAGGCAGAGTCTTGCTAAGGTGGCCATACTAGGCTCAAACTTGTGATCCTCCTGCCTTAGCCTTCCAAGTGTGGGATTCCAGGCATTTGCAACTGTGCCTGGTAAGATTCTTATACAAGGCTTTAGTAAGGCTCATGGGGAGAAGGCATGGGCTTCAAATACCTGTTCACAGTCGAGCTTGTTTTCTAACATGTGACTTTGCTGCTTCAGTTTCTTTTTCATTTTCTGAACTAGAGTGTAGTGTGTGGGTGTGATGTGTGTGCGCTCATGGTATCCTGTGTGTGCTGTCGCCTGCCCCTGCTCACACTACCTGTGTGTGTGTGAGACGTGTGGGAGTTGTGTGTGTGCATCACACTGCCTGCTGTGGGTGTCGCGGGGTAAGTGTGTGTGCCATCATGTGTGTGTGCATGCGTGCAGTGTGCATGTGCAGTGTGTGGTGTGTGTGCAGTATGCACGTGGTGTGCATGTTTGTGAAGTGTGTGTGTCTGTGTGCGATGTGGTGTGTGTGCGTGTGCGTGTGGTGTGCAATATGTTTGTGCACATGCATGTGTGGTGTGTGCGTGTGTGCACATGTGCTGTGTATGTGTGCGCAGTGTGCATGTGCAGTCTGCGTGTGAGGTGAGCGTGTGCTGTGTACACGGTATGTGTGGTGAGCGTGTGCACGGTGTGCGGTGTGTGTGTGCCTCAGCTCATCTGTCTTTGCTGAGCCCCCGTGGTGCTGGCCTCATGGTCAGCAGAGGGCACCAGCAGCCTGGCTCTGTGTCCTCCTCTGGCCTGCAGAGCGTCCCCTGCTGCAGCTGTGGCCTGTCCTGGCTGACCTGTGCCTGCACTCGCCGTCCCAGAAGCTCCCACCTGTCCTTTCGGGTCCCTGGGCATCCTCGCAGACTCTGTCCTTATGGGAGTCGCATCTGTAGAGCTGGACTGACTGGCTGCTGTGCCTGTCTCACTTCCACACATAGGTCAGGGGCGTCACTGGGGCTGGGGCCGGGGCGGGTTTCTGCAGAGAACCCAGTCCTGGTTCCTGAGCCTTAGGGCTCGCGGAAGGGCCCCAGAGCCGGGGCACCAGCCGGCACCTGAGTGGCCCGTGCTGGGGGCTTGACGTACTCATCCACCCCCAGCCGGTTGGTGTGCAGTCCCCTGTGTGGTCCCCAGCAGAGTGGTCCTTGGAGCAGTGGGCAGAGACCCGAAGATCTGAGTCCCTGGAACAGGCCCAGGCCAGTGCCTCTATTCTGCCATCCACTCCTGTGCCCTGCGTGACCCCGGCCCTCACTGCTCTCTCTTGCGCCCATGCACGTGGACACTTCTTTACCCTTGGAAATGGAGGAGTCTTCCACGTGGAATCTAAAAAAGACTGGAAGCCAGGCGTGGTGGTGTACCCCTGTAATCCCAGCACTCAGGAGGCTGAGGCAGGAGGACTGCTGTGAGTTTTAGGCCATCCTGGGCTGCACAGTAAGTTCAAGGCCAGTCTGAACTGCATAGTGAGACCCTGTCTCAAAAAACAAAAACAAAAACAAAACAAAAAAGAGAAGAGTGGAATATGCAGAGACAGAGAACAAAACAGCAGTTACGTAGGTGGGCAGAGGCTGCAGGGTGGCAGCATTGTGTACGGTGAATTGTGGGATCTCTGTGTGAGGATTTTTGATAATAACAGTGCCATGTTCAGATGCTTACAGATGTGAGGTAACATTGTTTGTTGTTAGTTTGCTTAACTGCAGCAACCACTTCACTACACAGGTTCACACACAAACACGTATACCTTAAATACAGGTAATGCAGTTTATACCTGTAACCTCAGCTCCTCATGAGGCTGAGGCAGGAGGATCACAAATTTGGAGATGGCCTGGGCAATGTAGCAATAACTTACCTCAATTAGAAAGGGCTGGCGATGTAGCTCAGAGGTAGAGCAGTTGCCTAGTATGCATGAGGCCCTGGA